CCATCTGCTCTCCAAGCTGGTTGTCCATGTGCAGTAGCACGTCTTGGGTCTCCCGAGCTGCGGTCTGGGGCACGCTGGGAGACCTGTTTTCCTGGGGACAGGGGCCATGGTGAGGGCAGGTGTCAGGGTGGAAGCCATGTTGGCTTTGTGGAGCTCTGTTATGAAGGGTCACTTAGTGTCTTTGTGAAAGCCCCGGTTGCTAAATGAAAGGGATGAATTCAGCGCTTGCGATAGGAGCCTCATAATATCTACTCATGTCTTTGAGCTGTACTTTATTGTGCCTAACCCCTAGGAAGCAATGGCAGATGCCCCCCTAGGCCTCTCCCTGTCAACAAGGGTTTGGGCAAAGACACCACGTCTTCTCGTGTTACCGGGAGCGGCGTTGCACTGCTCTGCAGCTTCCTACGTTAGGATGGTCCATCCTGTTACAGACACAGTCTGAGCGCTCCTTGGAGCCCCTCGCTAGCCTCTCTGGCATGCAGAAACATGGCGCCTCCTCCTGACCAATCCGGAGGCTGCAGATAAAATCAGCAAAAAGGGGGTTTTAAAAATGCCCCCTGCCGCTAAACATTCCTGCACGTGCACGTAAAATCTCCCCGCCACCCAAAGAAATAAGCCGTGTGCTGCAGTTTACCTGTCGGTTACCCTGTGAACCGGGGGGCATGCCTGGGTCTGGTGGGGGCAAGGCGCTACTCAGCAGGATCAGGATCTAGCAACCTGGCTTGGAACAGCTGTTTGCCAGATGCCGTCCTGCCTTTCTCCCCAGGAGCCTCGATGTCAGGCGCCCTGCGGTGGGCACAGCGATGGCACTGGCTGCCTAGAGAGGCACCCATATCCCACTGTAGGTCCCCTGGAGATTTGCCTATAGGGGACATAGCATCAAGAGCATTCCCTGAAGGGGGCCCTCTGTGGTGTGTCCCATCTTGGCACCCCCAGGCAGCTGCTCACAGCTGCCAATGATCCTGGGAAGGAGATCCCCCCCCCTCACCCCCCGGCTCTCCCTGCCCAACCACACGTTCCACCTCCCCACCCCAGGTCCCCTCCTAACCCCCAGCCCAATCTACCATTGGCCTGTTGCAGTGCCAGCTTTTGTCCTACCCCGTGTCACCTTCTGCCCCACTGCACTGTACCCGTAGAAAGGCTTAGAGGGTGCCAAGGTGCTGGGGGCCTGGACGTTAATGATCTAGGTGGGGGAGACGTGGGCACTGGGGCTACACACTGCAGTGCTCTGGCTGACGTGCCAGCAGCTTGGCATCCGTTGTGCAAATGAGCGAATATGTATTCAGCACCTCTCTCCATCCGCACCCCTGCATGCTCCTTCCCAGATGTGCATAAGGGAGGAGTCCGGTTGCACCATGACCAGCCAATAGACTAGCCAAACAATACCTCAACCCAGGCACTTGGGAAATGCCCCAGTCCTATATTAACCTCTGCAGGAGCGACCGGCTTTCTCACCCCTTGCAAGTTAACTTCCCTAAACCATCGAGCTGACGGCAGCGCCCAGCCTTCTCCGCAACCCCCTGAAATCATCCCCCTCTTCAAATACCTGGGAGATCAAAGCACAAATTCAGACTCCTGGACGGGCCAAAGATACCCTGGGTTGGATTCTCAGCCTCTTTTGCTCCCTTTACATCACTCAGGTGGGGTAAAGGGAATGTGAAACCGGCCACAAGTCCTCTGCTGGGTGGGGAGTCTCTGGCAGGTGTAGATCCAGCTTAGCCAATTCCTCCCTCTCCCTCTCCACAGCCCCCCGTGCAGGAGAAGGTGAAGGGGAGTGACCATAAGAAGCCGCTCTCTGGCTAGGCCCAGCTGGTCCGTGGTTCTCTGGGACCGTTCGGTGCTAAGATGCACCTTGGAGCAGGACAAGACTCAAGGAGTCCCACAGTTCTGCTACCCCCAGTGTAAGGTGGACAAAACAGGAACTTTGGCCTCCTGAGTGTTTTGGGAAAACAGCCGTTCCAGTCTGGGCCCCATCCTTGCCGTGAAGTTTGCCCCCAAATTTGGCTCAGGGTAAGCAAGGTCACATGGGTGATAAGGGTCATATTTTGAAGGCTTTATGCAGCACTTTCCTGCATTGTAAAGACATTAACTAATCGGTCCTCACGTCAGCCCTCTGAGCTAGCTGTCACTATCCCACTCTGACAGAGGGAAACTGAGGCACACAGCTAGCGGTTGATGGCCTGCTTTTCCAAGGGAATGGCCACCCTCAGCAGCAGAGCAAGGAACTGAACCCAGGAGTTCAGGCCATTTGGGGGAGACTGCCACCCTCGCTCCGCTGCTCAAAACCAACAGCCCCCCGCCCCAAGGTGTCAGAATGGTGTTGCCAAGATGCAGTGGCCCATAGAAGAATGTGCCAGGCCAGGCCCGTTCTTAGTAATCCTGCGGGTGGATTACCCTGGGGGTGCGCAGAAGCCCGAAAACACAGGAAACCAACGGCAAACGTGTGACCCTGAAGGAGAAACCAGCTTATGTGGATTCCTTACCTGCCCTGGCAAACTGAAGTCTAATGTAATTAGCCTTGATGCCAGCCCAGTCTGAGCCCTTTCCTGGGCGCACCAAAAGGACCCTGCTGGCGAGCGTTGTCCTGCACAGAAAAGCATTGAGTAGTTTGCAAACCAGGCTGGATTTATAACCAAGGTGCTTATTAGAATTACTTACGCCTTTGCTTCATTTCCCCCAGCCTGTGCAGACCCCGGGCCCACCTCTGCTGTCCCAGCCTCTCCGGAGGATGCGTTCACCCCTGGAGCTGCGTCTCCCACAACGGCGGAGAGCAGTTTGCTCCGTGCCGGAGTCCTGGCAGCCACAGAGACAGCACCATCTCCTCCGTCCCTGTCCGACATGGCCGCAAACACCACGTTGCCCGGAGAAAGCGGCATTTCAAGCGGCCACGCCAGCCAAGCCAGCGCCTCTTTTCCGGCAGAGGTGAATGGGACCAATGTAAATTCTGCGTCTTCCTCCCCCGAGCCAGGAGCCAGCGGCGGTGAAGCAGCCGAGATCCCTACAGAAGAAGCAGACATTTCGGTCAGCGCCACAAACTCTTTGCACGCCTCTCCGGAAAACAGGACAGTGGCCACGACCCCGGCGGGAGAAGCGGTCGCCACGTTGGCCTTGTTCTACTCCAGCCCAACAGACCCTCGCCCGACCCTCTTCTCACATTCCGAGCTGGAGGGAACGAGATCGGTCCCTGGCGCGTCCTCCGGGGTCACCACCTCCTCTCCTCTCTCCGCAGCTACTGAGGACTGGACAGCCACCCCCGGCACTGGATGGGGGCCAGAGGACTTGGCATCCCCTGGCACTGCTGTGTCCCATGGACCACCTCTTTCTCCGTCGGTGGGAGAGATGGAGTCAAGTCCTGCGGCGTTCCTGTCTCCTGCTGCCTCTCCCGCTGAGGCCCCCGTCTCAGAGACCGAAAGCCCAGGGCAGGATGGAGCTAGTGCTCCGGAATCCCCAGAGCCACCTTCAGAGAGCGAGACAGGACGAGGAACATCCGCACCGGCCGGGGAAACATCCCCACCTGCCTTTGTAGCTGGGTCACTGGGACCCGCAGAGACTGAGGGAGCGGGGCTCTCCCCAAGTGCATTTCCCAGCGTTACCGGGTCCCATCCTCTGGCTTCAGAGAGCGAGACAGTTACTGCCCGTGCAGCTCCGGAAGGAAGAGGGGATGCGGGGAAGTCCGTGTCCGCCACAAAGGAGGAAACCCCACTATCGGTGCTCGATACCCAGAGCCGAACAAATCCCTCGCCCTCCGGCGCAGCGCAGAGTCCGGCTAACACAGAGGCGCTACCGGCAGGAGATCCGGGGGCTTTGTCCAGCGCCGAAACTTCCCCTCGTTCCTTTCCAGAGCCTGGGACGGTGACAGCCAGACCTACGCTGTCCGGAGAAACGGCCCCGTCTCCCGGGGACATCCCTGCCGAGCCGTCCGTTTCAGAGAGGGAAAGTCCGGGATCCTCCTCGGCCGGATTCTCCGGTGCTCCCGGTTCTCCCCAGCCCCCTCCAGACGCTGCGGGAGGGACAGCACCTGTCGCTCCTGGGGCGGGAGAGGAATTGGCAAACTCTGCCCACGCCAGTGTGAAGGGAACGCCCCGCGCCCCATCAGCCCTGGAGTCCGCGGCCCCTGCTGCAGCTGCCGAAGGTCCTGGAGGAGCAACTGTTTCTGGCGGCTTTGCCAGCGGGGTCGCGGCACCCTCCAGTGCCGAGCTAGCAGCCACCGAGGCCGCCACCACATCTCACGCGGGCACCCGGAGCGAAACAGACCCCTCGCCCCAGCGCGCAGAGCCCAGCCCAGCTCCCACGGGCGAGCTGCCGACAGGAGAACCTGGAGCGTTGGCTTCTCCTCAGCCATCCTCGGCTGGGGACACCGCGCTGGCCCCCGCACTCGCAGGAAACGGAGGGGCTACGGCTAGTCCGGTGTCGGGGGTGCCTGGAGAAACCCCGATTTCCAACCCCGATCTCCAGAGTGCAACAAATCCCGCCGTCCCGGAGCGGAGTCCCGGGGGCGCACCAGAGGTGCCTGCCTTGGCCAGCGCCGACGCATCCCCTCCTGCGCCCTTAGGAGACGGGACCGTGCCAGGCAGACTCGCTCCAGCGCGACTAACATCCCCACCTGCCTTTGCCTCTCTCCGCGGAGCCCCGGCTGAGCCTGACACAACGGGCGATGCCACAAACGGATTGTCCGGGGCTCTCGGCGCTGCCCGTCCAGCCCCTGCGAGGGAGGCGTCTGCAGCCAACGAGGGCACGTCCGCGCCCGTCTTTGGAGCGCCTGGGGACCCAGCCTCTCTCCCCGCCATCTCAGACTCACCGGCAGGCCCCGGCGCCGCGGGTTCTGCTCCTCCGTCCGCAGCTGGCGAGAGAGTGACCGTCCCACCTGTAGCTCCAGGAGGAAGAGGGGACGCGGCTGGTTCCGCAGCCGCAGCCAAGGAGGAAACCACCCCCTCTAACCCCGATGCCCAGCACGCAGAGGCGAGTCCGGCACACGGGGCAGAGCCGCCCCCAGGAGAAAGAGGCGCCTGGGCCAACGCTGAGACCTCCCCATATTCGTCCTTAGGGGATGGGAGAGCCGCAGGAATACTCGCGCCGTCGGGGGAAACAACCCCGGCTGCCTTTGCCTCTCCCGGTGAAACCGCTGCTGGGCCCTCCGCTTCAGAGACTGCACGGCCAGGACCTTTGTTTTCTAGTGCCCCGGTGCCCTCCCCCTCCTCTCCCGAGAGGCCGACAGTCATGGGGCCCGCTGGGGTTAGGAAAGACGCAGCCATCTCTGCCAGTGACTCAGGGGTCCCCGCGGCATTCCCAGGACTGGAGGCAGTGACCGGGCAACCACTCACGACACTACGCCTGGCCACCTCTTGTACTCCCGCTGCCACGGGATCCCACGCCCCTTCCCTCCATTCGGAGAAGGGGGAAACGCCCCCGGAAAGGGGGGCTAACCTGGGTTTGGCTGGTGCGTCCCATGTGCCAGCTGCCACCACTCCAGCACCCTCCGGAGGACGGGCAGCGACACCGTTCCCCCTCTTGGGAACAACAGGTATGTCCCACGCTGAGAACTAGTGTCCCCAGGTGGGTTC